TTAGGGTTTTAGGGTTTGGGGTATTAGGGTTTAGGGTTTCAGTGTTGAGGGTTTTAGGGTTTCGGGTTTAGGGTTTTTAGGGTTTAGGGTTTTAGGGTTTAGGGCTTAAGGTTTAGGCTGCCCTCCTCCAAACGATTCTGGGTTCCCTTAACCAACCCCCCCCCCCCCCGCACTGCTTTCAGTTTGGGTTCGGCCTAAGTTAAACTTATTTGAGCTACAGTCTAAACTGCTTAAAGGGGGTTATATTTGGGGTTTTGTAGTGCCTCTTTTGGGATTCCATGTCAGTCTTGGGCACTGTAATTGAGTGGATTTCTGCAGATAGATCTCGCACTCGGGTGATGTCCTGAACCCCAGGCTTTGAACGCAGAGTCCCAGAATCGTGGGATCATTACCCGAAATTTATGGATTCCCCTACTACGCCCCTGCGATACTACTTCCCTTGTTTGCCCCTCAATTCAGCCTATTTCAGGATAGCTCCAGCTAATCAAGGTTTATTAGGGGGAGCCCGGGGATATTATAGGTGAGCGGGGTAGTATGGCAGGAGGAGAACCCATGAGAAACCCCAAACCCCAAACTGGAATTATACCCACTGACCGTAGTAAGGACTAAGTGGGGAGTCAAGTGGAAAAGAAGATAGACCATGACAAGGAAACTTTCTTATATAGCGGCTTCTTAGTATGTGCCTATATGAGCTATAATCTGAATTTCTTAAAGGAGGGTATATAGGGGATATTGCAGGGAACTACTATAGGGTTTATTAAGGGGGATACTAGGAGTTCAGACTATAATTTGATAATTTGGCTAACAGAACTCTAGCTCTGCTGGAGGCTCGCTAGAGTATCCCTGGCCTGTTTGTGGTAGGCCCGTAACCCTAAACCCCCAAACCCTTAAACCCAATACCCAAAACCCTGTAGGCTTAGGGTCCTAGAAGATGCACAACACGCTATTGCGGTCAGAGCTTTCTCCAGGAGCTACAGTAAAAACCTCCAGATAAGTGAAGATACTGACCTGCCCCAAGCCCGAGGCTCTCATTCTCAACATATACTTCCATCCCCTGAGTATCAAATTATTCCTAGACCCATATCTTTGAAACCTTTTCCTCTAAATCTCTCAACCCTTGACCCCTGAACCCCAAAACCTTAATCATGTGCAACGCTCAGAAGTAGCGCTACGCAGCACCTGGTGGCTGACAATCACCTCGTCCCAGTGCCAAGCCCTGATCTTGAATACCGTAGGCACCTAAATGGGATAGGGTTTGGGGTTTCCCAAAATGAGGGGTACCCTTTAAAGGGGGATATAGGGGTTATATAGGGTTTAGGGTTTAGGGATTAGGGTTTAGAGTTTCCGAAAATCAGGGGGTACCTTTTTGGGGGTCCTTAGAATAAGGATTCTAGTATTTTGGGGTCTATATTGGGGTCCCCCTATTTAGGGGAACTACCAAATGTATTGTGTAGGGTTGAGAGATCATTGGAGAAGCAAATCGAAAGCAACAAAAGGAAGCCGGACCTGATAGGGCTTCATAGGGATAGTCAAAAAATTATGATTCAAATTCCATGTGTCGTGATGAGTATTGGGTACCAGACCTCAAAATTGCGTTGGCAGTTTTTTCAGCCCTTGTAGTAATTTCCACTATGCTATTGTCATCCCTTCACTTTAGAATACTCATCCCCAACTTCGAACATTGGCGGTGTCCCCCAGTCGTTAACGTATCTTCTGGGGAATATGTTCATTTCTGTAGTGTGGTGGGAGCGGTGTTTAATTTCAGTATGAGCGGTTTACTCCCCAGTATGGTATTGTAAAATATTTTCGGGGAGAATGTACTCATACGGGGGTGGGGGTGTTTAAGAATAGTGAAGGTGATCATTCTTGAGAAAGGGTTTTGTTGTTTAGAATCACATGTAACGTGACAGTCCGCGGGCATCATGTCTATCACTCTCCATGTGAGTCTGCTGAGTGGCAGGAGAATTTCTCTTGACACTGAGCTGGATGTCGATGTTGAATGCTTCAAGCAACAAGCTCAACGCGCTTTGTCGGTGGGCAAGGGCAGACTCATTGACTCTCATGGGTCAGTGCTGGATGGAGCAAGGACCATCCGAGAATGCGGGCTGCGGAATGATGATGCTTTAAACCTGCAAACACAGCCAGTGGTGGTACTGGCTAATTCAAACTTGTCCGGTTTCAGTACACCGGCCGCCTTTGCTGCAATCCTTGGCGATGGATGCGTGGTGACCTGGGGTCACTTTCGGTTTGGTGGTGACAGCAGTTCTGTGCAAGATCAGCTGAGAAACGTGCAGCAGATTCAAGCCTCTCAGTTTGCTTTTGCTGGCATCCTTGACAATGGCTCCGTAGTGACGTGGGGAGATCCTGTCCGAGGTGGCGACAGCGGTGCTGTGCGAGATCAGCTGAAGAATGTGCAGCAGATTCAGGCCACTTCTTTCGCTTTCGTTGGCATCCTTGATGATGGCTCTGCAGTGGCCTGGGGCGACGTTAACAATGGTGGGGACAGCAGTGCTGTGCAAGATCAACTGAGGGACGTGCAGCATGTTCAGGCCTCCGCTGGAGCTTTTGCTGCCATCCTTTGCGATGGTTCTGTGGTGACCTGGGGCGATGCTGGCTATGGTGGCGACAGCAGTGCTGTGCGAGACCAGCTCAAGAATGTGCAGTATGTTCAGGCCTCTTCTGGAGCGTTTGCTGCCATCCTTGGCGATGGTTCCGTGGTAACCTGGGGCCATGCAGATTGTGGTGGTGACAAGAGTGTTGTGCAAGATCAGCTTAGAAATGTGCAGCAGGTTCAAGCCTCTTCTGGAGCTTTTGCAGCAATCCTTTTCGATGGTTCTGTGGTAACCTGGGGCAATGCGGACTTTGGTGGCGACAGCAGTGCTGTACAAGATCATCTGAAGAATGTGCATCAGATTCAGGCCTCTTTGGGAGCTTTTGCTGCCATCACGGACGATGGTTCCGTGGTGACCTGGGGCCATGCTTCTTTGGGTGGTAACAGCAGCGCTGTTCAAGACCAGCTGAGAAATGTAAAGCACATTCAAGTCTCTACTGACGCTTTTGCAGCTATCCTTGCCGATGGCGGGGTGGTGACTTGGGGCAATGCTGATTTTGGTGGCGACAGCAGTGCTGTTCAAGCTCAGCTGAGAACTGTGCAGCAGATTCAGGCCTCCACTCGCGCTTTTGCAGCCATTCTTGGAGATGGCTCCGTGGTGACCTGGGGCAATGCTGACCACGGCGGCGACAGCAGCGCTGTTCAAGCTCAGCTGAGAAATGTGCAGCAGGTTCAAGCCTCCTGTGGAGCTTTTGCAGCCATCCTTGCCGATGGTTCCGTGGTGACCTGGGGCCAAACTGCCTGTGGTGCCGACAGCCGCGCCGTGCAAGATCAGTTGCAGGGCTTGGAATAAAAGGTGCGGCTCAACGGCTTGCAGTTGCGGGGTCAACGAATTGAGCTGTATTTCAGTCATACTGGCTCTATATAGGGATAATGGAAAAGAAAACGAAAACTACTATATTATAGTAGGGTATATACTGGGGTTATATAGGGATCATGAAAGAGAAATTGGAACTACTATACATACTGGTTCAGGATGCCATTCCCTTTATCTTCCCTTTAGTGCATCAAAGGCAGCATGCAGCCCCACAATACATAAGAACGCACGAGAGCAGGCTTAGAAACATGCCCACCTGCACCTACGCATGCGGCCTACTACCCCTTCAGTACATAGCAATAGTATGTGTTGGTGTACACTGTCAGTTGTTATCTGGTTCCTCTATAGACCCAAATAATTACCAAGAACGTGGTGTGGTCCTCAGTTCCTTGTATCATCATCGCCCAGGGTACTTCAATTGGACTTCAACCCTAAACCCTAAACCCTAAACCTGTAAACCCTAAACCCTAATTTTTTTAAGCGTATCCGAGGAACTCGTCAATTGAGGGTGGTGGCTTTGCTAGCTACGTTGGAGGCCCGTTAAGAGTGTCTCTAGGAAGTTCTTCTTGGGGTTTAGGGTTTAGGGTTTAAGGGTTTAGGGTTTAGGGGGTTGAGGGTTTGTGTGTTTTGAGTGTTTAGGGCTGCGGAAGATGCACAACTCGCCTGCTGTACATCATCCAGTATGCACTCCAAACTCGCAAGTACCCTCTCCCTACAACTGTCGTTCTTAAGATATAGTTCCTTCCCCATCATATTCATTTCTTGAGAGGAGATCATTTTCGACATCAGGGTGGCGCTCATTGCACCCCAACCCCTGAAGCCCGTAAGCCCCCTCAGCCCATAAATCCTTAAGCCCCTGAACCCCTCAGTCCCTAAACCCCACAACTCTAAATGCAAAAGCGTCCTAAGCCTGAGGAAAATGTCAAGCGGATCTACTGCTTTCGCAACCTGAAGGCCAGAATATTCCTGGGAACAACTAGGGTTTAGGTTTCAGGTTTTAAGGCATCCATCAAGGACCCTAATCCTTGTATACCCCTCATGTTTAGGGTTAAGGGTTTAGGGTTTAGGGGCCATAGCAAAATGAATTTTATAAGGCGCCGAAAGCTTATCCCAGAAGGCGGGTGGGTATGCAGTTCTCGAGGGCAGTTGTAAGTGAGGTTAGACATCCCCACAGTTGCATACCCAAAGCCCTAAAACCCTTGCTTACAACCCTAGGGTGTAGGGTTTAGGGTTTAGTGCATTAGACCCGAAATCTTAAACTAAACTCTAAAACCTTACTTACAACACCATTTGCTATTACACACTCCAAGTCGGAGTATGTTGAACTTTATAAGCCTTAACTCCTAAACCCTCAACCCCAGAAACCCCTAGACCGACACTTGTGAGCTTGATCACTTCAGGGGTAGTTGCGGGGGCTTGAGAAGCGACGCGCCGCCGCAGCAAGTGGGTTTTGCCAGCTGTGCGGTATTTAAACTGGAGATCAGGGCTTAGGGTTTCGGGTTTGGGGTCTAGGTTTAGAATTTAGGGTCTAGGGTATGGAGCATCAGACGGCAAAGAAAATGGAAACGGGGGCGTTGTAGAATTGTATAGCTTACTGGTATGCCTTGTTGCTAGTGTCTTCCTCGGGGATAAGATAGTCCCCCATATCGATTAAAATGGGATCCTCTTCTTTGATCCAGTACTTGACAAGAGAAAGATCTAATCTAAGTGGCACTTTGGGACAATTGATAACATCCCTAATTGCTGAAAAAAGGCACCTACGTCTCGGGCTTCAGGATTTAAGGTTTTATGCTTTAGGGTTTTAGGGTTCAGGATTTACTTTTTAGGGATGAGGGTCATTAAGGTCTAGAATTTAGGGTTAGAGATGGTTTGGGGTTTAGGGAAAGAACGTCTCCAACTCCGCTACTAAGGAACATTCCCAACACAGTTCCCTTATGAGCTATAGTCTAGACTCCTTAGAGGGGGTCATAAAGGTGATTATATATAGGACTACATAGGAGTTATGAAGGGGGATACGAGGAGTTTAGACTTTGTCCCATTTTAGTAGAGGAAATATTCGAGTAAAGGGTGGAGCGCAGGTTTATAATTAGGGTTAGGGTTCAGGGTTTACACGGACAGATGAATTATCCTAAACCCCAAACCCTAAACCCAAACCCATTTGCTGGGATTCATCCCATCCCTCCCTAAAAAGCAAGATGCAACCCAGACCCCTTGAAGGGTCCAAAAAATGGAACCCCCCAACATGACCCCCAGCACTTCATTGGGGAACCTAGTGCATTATCAAGGGTTTTCATTTTTTGGATAGTTTAGGGGGTCTGGGAAGCTACCTCCTACCGGTTTGCCAGTCTGATGTTCATGATAGCTGACTCATCCTTTCGTGTTTAGGGTTTAGGGTTTCGGGTTTACGGTATTGGTGAAGGATGTTCTGTTTGAGGGCTTAGGGCTTATGGTGTTGATTAGGTCAGTCCCCCTACGCTAATAGCCCCTAAACATGGAGTTACTGTAATAGGACCTAATATACCTACAGAAATCCTTTGCTTGTACCCATCGCTGGATGGGGAATTGACCCGAGGTATTCAGTACCGCAGGTATTCAGTACCGCAGGAGCATAATCTTTATCAGGACTGTCTTCATGTCAGTGGTGGAGCGTGCGAAACATTAAAACATCTCCTCCTAATGGGTCCCGCTACTCCCTATACTACCCCCTCTAGGTATTGATTAGGGTTCATCCCTTCATAGTTAGGGTTGGTTCATCCTCTCACATTAATGGCAAATACCCTCCGGCCACTCCTGATATTAGATATTACTTCTTGAGAGACCTTGTATATGATTCTCGTGCGATTGGATTAAATTCGCTTAAGGACATAGTCCCCCTTCAGTAGATAGAATATGGCTTCGGGTTTTTTATAATGAGATCCCCATATACCCCATATTCTATCTACTTAAGGGGGACTATACCCTAAACCCTACACCTTAAACCCTGAATAGTAGTTTCCATTTTCTTTTCCATTATCCCAGTATAACCCCCTATAATCCCCATATTCCATCTACTTAAGGCGGGCTATTATTTTAGTACTTTTTAGGTAAGGAGAGGCTCCCATTCAGGATCTTCGTAATTTAGGGTTTAGCGTTTAGTAATACTAAACCCTAAACCCTAATAAATCTGGAGCATAAGGAATTCTAGGGCGGGCGTCCCAAGGATTCTGGTTTAGGGCTTAGGGTTTAGGGGTTTAGGGCTACAGGTTTATAGGCCTCCTTAAGTAGATAGGGTATAGGGTTTAGGGTTTAGGGTTATAGGCCCACTTAAGTAGATAGCGTTTAGGGGTTTAGGGCTTAAGGATAGTTATGTGGGACTCCTATACTTGCGATAAAATTAAGTCTGGTCACAACCACCATGTCCAGCATACTTGGAACCCGCTACTGGGAATCTCAGCTTCCTACTCCCTTGCTCACTATGTACGCAAATGGGTTTAGGGTTCCTACACCCTAAACCCTATTTGAACTTCAGGAGAAATGTCATCTTGTTCTTGGTCCGACCAGGGTTTAGGGTTTGGAGTTTTGGGTTTTGGGGTTAGGGTTTACGGTCAGGGATTAGGGTTTAGAGTTGAGGCCTGTGTGAAGTGCGTGCCTTTTAAGCGCGGGGGGAGGGGGGGGGGGTACTTCTGAAATGCACTTGGAATTCTTTCATCCCCTTATTCTCGGGTTGTTCAAAAAAAACCCTATCCCAACCCCGAAAGCCTGAAGCCACACTCCCTACATCCCAATTCTTACACCCCGAATCCTACACCTTAAACCTTAACCCAGAAGCTTAGCTTGTGGGGCCTAATAACAGTAGCACTAATAATGACAAGAAAACAAATATTAATATTCAACCCTAAACCCTAAACCCTGAACCCTAAACCCTAAACTGGTAACAATGCCGAGCCAGGATGTTCTGGTCAGCGACTGGGCCTTCACTGCCTCAATCATGGAGTCGGATGTGCCCCTAGATCCTCGTCCATCTTATGCATCGGGGTAAAAGGGGTTAGGGTTTAGGGTTTAGGGTTTAGGCTATGAAGGGATATAATTCTAAACGCTATCGCGCACCTGCCTCGGCTGTTGGGTGCGCAGACAGCGATGCTCACTCATGCGGAGGGCCCGGGGGCAGGGCAGGGGGTGTACGTACAACTTAACTCCATATGGGTGGTTGTCAAAATTATCGTTCCCTATTATGATACGGCACCTAATATGTAGGGTACCCGAAAAGGGATCACAATTTTAACAACCACCCACATATCCCAAGATCACAACCTCTATGAGGATGGGGGACGTTAAGGTGGGGGGGGGAGGGGGAAAAACCGAAAAACATGCTCATTGCCACCGACTCCCAAGCCTTGAAGCCTTGGGAAATCCTGGAATTTCATTTTGGGCGCACCACGGGACGGGGAGGGGGAGTAGAGGATATAGGGTTTAGGGTTTAGAGTTTAGGGTTTGGGGGTTTAGGGTTTAGGGTTTAGAGGGGGTTTTAGAGGGTTCCAGAACTCGGCGAATAGACTATATTATGGAAACTGCAACGAAAAGAGTGTGGATAATGCCATGGAAGAGGGGTGGTTGAGGGTTTAGACCCTCAACCCCAAACCTTTGGGTTTGGGGTTCAGGGTTTAGGTTCTCGGGTTTAGGATTCCAATGCCTATGAATTCGGGGCTGGGGCTTACATGAGCTGTTGCCATTATTAGGGATACCAAGGAACCATTCAGGGTGGACATGGGTGTCCTTTTTATAGTTTAGTATACGTAATATACTAGATAATTACCCATATTATGGTTCCATATTCCTTATATAATTATGGTCTATGGTACCTCAAATGGACCTCAACATGATACTGGTAATTATTTAAGTTCCTGTGGTAGTCCCTAACATATTCCCTAATAAGGAATCCCTGTCATTCACGTCGCGCATGAGGCCCTATACTATCTCACCGCGAACCCTCAGAGGTGTAAGTTTGGATTCCCCATAGCAGACTGTTGAGAAACTCTGCCTCTGAAGTAGAGCTTTTAGAGTTACGCGCCAGAAAACTAATGTGTTTGTTTTCGATATGGGGTAGTGTAGAGGGGGGGGCTATGTAATCAATAGCGCTAGCATCTACACCCTAACCCTAGAAGACATCCTGCTAGAGGGTTGGCGGTCAAGGAGTTTGGGGGGGCTTTGCGTAAAAAGTCCCCTCAGGCAAAGGTCTTGCACGTCGTTGTTTTTTCATTTCCCTTTCGTTTTGGGAAATTCAAGAGACTAGTGTAGGTGGGGCTTGAAGAACTTGGAGCATTGGAATTGAAGGTTCGGAGGTTTCGAGGTTTGGCATATTTCTTTCAACCCAAAAAGTTGAAGCACTCATCCCCAAAACCTAAGCCGTAAACTCAAAACTCTCAACCCGAAAAGCAAAGTGGCAAGACCAAAAGCCCACACAGGTCCTTTTAGACCTATAGACCTAGAACCCTGAAGGATCTGACGAAGGAAAATATAAGAGCCTCTCAAACAGGGACTGGCCTACGGACCCAAGCGATATAGAGGGGTTACACGGGGACTATGGGGGTCTCGATAATTGGGGGTTATCTGACCTATAGTCTAGATGGGGGTCCCGATCATTGGGGATTATCTGACCTATAGTCTAAACTCCTAGTATCCCCCTTAATAGGCCCGATGATGTTCCCCTATATAATCCCCGAAATAACCCCCTTCAAGGATTTTAGACGTTGCACCCTAAGCCCTAATCCCCTATATAACCCCGTTTTAAGGAGTTTAGGCTATAGCTCATCTAGGACATTCAGGACCCGAAGCAGAGGTTTGTCTAGGTTGCAGTGCGTAGGGGTAGGGTCTAGGACCCGGTGTAAGGTTTAGGGCTTTCTGGGCTCCAAGGGTTTTAAGGTTGAAGAACCTGGCTTAAACCCTAAACCCTAAACCCTAAACCCTAGGGGTTGAAGAACCTCCCTTAGGGTTTTGGATTTAAGCGCTAGGGTTGGGTCTCTTCAAGGTCTTCCGCTTCTAGGACTTGGGGCTTGATGTTAGGGTTTAGGGTTTAGGGTTTACGGTTTAGGTTCTGTCCAACTGTAGATGAGTTCTCCGCAGCCTGCAATTAGGAGTTCCAGACATCTACAACCCTAAGCCCTGAACCCTAAACCCTCAACCCTAAACCTTCACCCCTCAAGCTAAGCCCAGTGCGCTACCTGCCGCACATGTTCCGTCCAGGGATGATCTTGCCTCGTAATGCACAATGAGATATGGGGGTTTCCCAAAATCAGGGGTACCATTTTGGGGGTCCCAGTAATAAGGATTACAGTATTTTGGGGTCTATATTGGGTTCCCCCTGTTTTGGAAAACTACCATATTATGAGAATGTAGAACTGGACAACCGACCCCCAAACGACGCAGGAGCTCCCCCTGTAGCTGAGGCTGAACCACAACCCTGACTGCGGTTAAACCCTAAACCCTAAACCCTAAAACCTTAACCCTAAACCCTAAACCCTGAACCCTGAACTCAAAATCTGGCATCCTAAGCACGAAACGCGGAACCCTAAATCACTAACACCAGCCCAAACCTACCCCTAAACCAGAAGCAATGTTGCATGTTTCAGGATGCTTTCGCTTTTATGAGCCTTGTCAAGATTCAGGGTGCCTGTCTCAAAGCAAGCTTGGCGCATAAGGGGTTCTAGCCCGTAATAAGAATGATGTAAAAATACCAGTAATAGTAATAGTAATAGTAATAGTAATAGTAATAGTAATAGTAATAGTAGTAATCGTAGTAACAGCAATAAATAACAATAATAGTGATAAGAATCTGTATGGGTTATGAAGGGATGATGGGGTCTGGAGTTGAGGAGCTGAGGTTGAGGGCGTTAGTGTGTGGGGTTTGGGGATTAGTTTTTGGAGTTTGAAAAATTTCGTTTCGTCTTGTGTGCAGGGTTTCGACTTCAGAGCTCTTATAAAAGGTGGTTTGAGGGTTCAGGGTTTAAGGGCTTAGGGTTTAGGGTATTGGTTGCCCAGAGTTGGAAGTTTGCGTCCTGTAGTTTGATACGGGTCCTTTTGGCAGCTTCCCAAATTGGCTCCGGTTTCATGGGAGTCCACACCAAAATGACGATGTACCGTATGTCGGGTATCTAAGTCTGAGGCAATTGCGCAGGAGTGGAGCTACCATGTAGGGACCTTGCATACGCCTCATATACTCAATATGCAACTCCCCTCCTTCCCAATATCCTCCTTTTATATACCCTTCATTTAAAGTCCCCCCATTGGAAACTCCCTTCCTGTAGTTGGTCCTAACTGAGGGACCCGTATCTTGGGATTTGTTGGAAATACGTCCTAGGCCTAAAGCTCCCATAGCCCCTAGCCTAAACCCGAAACCCCCAACCCTAAGCCCACAGCCCTAAATCCCCAGTCTACTGGGTTGCTGTTAAGGAACTTAAATTAAGTTACTATATTGTGGAAACCCTATTATTTACTATATATACCCATTATGGTAACTTAATTTAAGTCCCTTAAATCCCTATATTCCCCCCAGTTTC